CCAAATTCACTGGTTTACTCCTTTATCCCTCTCATGTTGATCGCGAGATGAACCCATTCCTGAGCTTCCCATTTCACAAGAACATGGCGTAATTTGGCATAACTCTTCGGAGTTCTCATTTGTGTTGGTTCAGCTGTGTGTCTCACACATGCCCACTCAACTGTGAGTAAAATCTCCAAATGTCAAAAGTCATAGATTTAGTTTTAAATATGAGAATAATGTAATGCAAGATTATTTTGATACATATGGTGAAAAAAAAATCTAATAAATTGTAGAAGTCTAATTTGTGTTATTAGTTACTGACATAAATGCAGATTGGGATCTTTCTAAAGAAAGGATGAAATCTGTTTTTTTTCTGCAATGTCCTGCTCATGCAATTTAATATTAAGTACAAGGGAAAATAATGTTAGCTGTACATCTTCAAGATGGTCAGCATTCTCACATGAAGATGAAAATACTAGCTTCTGACTGCAACATAGACTGTAAGCAGTAGAATCAGGATATTCTCCTGCTTACATCCTAAGATGCCAGGTTTTTTTCCCCCACTGAAATTGCTGGAAGCATTTTCACTGACTTCAGAGGGAAGAGGACTGGGTTCTGGTGACTGATTCAAAACCCAGTGAAGTCAATAGGAGTATTTTCTTTAATTTCCACAGCATTTTGATTAGACCCTTGGAGAGGACTAGCACTGATATCTGAAGCACTATAAATTAATCAGATTGCATCTGCAAAATGTGCATATTCTGCCTAGAAGTAGACAAATTCAGTACATACTATTACTGAGTTCTCTCAGGAGGTGAAAGCTATTTTATCTTTTCATCAAATATTATCTTCTTTCTAAAATGTTTGTTTCATCTTAATCTATATATATATCCCTATCCTCAGAAGTCTCTAACAGGGTATGGCTGATGATTCTTTCCTTCTCTCCAGAAACAAGAGCTTTTCTTTCTCTCCTTACCCATCCTTTTCTGATCTCTTTGGCCCTTAAATAGGTCCCAATGTAACCATCCCTATTACCATACACCCATGGTGGCAGAGCTTGCTTTTTGCAGATACTTCTCCGTTTAATTCATGATATTTCTTGTACTAACACATGTTGAAAGTTGTTTGTGTACGAAGCCCTATGCTTAAGCTTTCTTACGCAGTCTCTTCTCTCCTTGAAGAAATTTGACTAGTTCCCAGCTACAGCTAAGTGTCAGGGAGCAAGGGTGCCCGTGGAAGCAGGCTAAGGGCATTAGGGATTTCTCAAAAGGGGGAGATAACGTCAGTCAGCACATTTTCAGACAAGAGTTGCATTTTTTTCACAGGATCATTCAGGATAATTTCAGACAGGATCATTCTTTTACAACTTAAACACTTGGGAATCAGGAAAAGCTATAATTCAATGCCATAGAGAGAACACTTCCAGATATTTTGATGGGAATGACATTGTGAACACATATAACTATTTTACTCATATCCAGTGCAGCCATTGGCCAAGACAGTAATATATAGGCTTCCAAACATTAAAAATATAGGACCATCCAGTATTCATCTGCCATAAACTTGCTATGCTTTACATAACAAATAATAAGCTGTAACATTAGAGATAGAGAGGTTGTTTCCTGAGCATAGAATAGGCATATTGTTCAAGATCTATTTTGTCTTATGATAAATTTCAATATTCAGTGCAACAGAAGATGATACCTGCATGTGTTACTTCCATCTGTAAATTATCTGGGCTTCCTCATGCTGGAGGACTTGCACAACATACTTACAAACATAGCTAACTGCTATCTTTTTCAGAGAAATACATGAAGTATAGGATACTTGAAGAGGTAAGAAGATGGTCTGATGGACAGAACAAAGGCTCACAAATTAGCGTTTATTAATTTTTTTCTTGTTGCCACAAATGACTCAGTGTGTCACCTGGGGCAGATCTCTTACCTGTTCCATACCATAGTTCCTGCATTTGCAAAATAATATCAGCCCAAAGGAATCTCATTAAACTCAATTAATGTTAGTAAAGTGTTTTGACACCCTCATACAAAAGGTGCTATAAATGTACAATCTGTCATCATATTGTACTGTTTCAGGATCATTTGACCCACTTCTGGCATACATCCCACTGACATAAAATGCAATGTAAAGGCACACAGAAGGAATGTGCTTAGGAATTAGTGCTGGAAGTGACACTTGCCCAATGTATTATTTTCCCAAAGCAATTATGATTTCAGATATACAGATAAACTGTAAATACCCTTGATGAAATTTGTTGAGGACACAAGGTACTTTCTATGCAGAGAGTGTCCTTATTGCTTTAAAGCATTGGCTGGGTTTTTGATTCACTAGATTATCAGCAGGGCTTAACCAACAAGTGGCTCACCTTTGAGATTTCTTATCCAAGTACTGATCTTGCCCAGACTTGTTTAGTTGATTATGAGTTCTGATGAGATCACTTCCTTAGATGACACAGCTGCAGGCTGCTTAACTATTCTCATATTTTTATATGTAGAAACAGAATACTTAGTACAATTTGTAACTGAATGCAGATTAAATTGATAATATTTTATGAGAAGAGGTTTTGGCCTGTGGCCCACAGAATTACCAATCACTGCTTATGTTCTGGGGCACAGTTGTCCCCAGGGTGCACCTTGTGTCACCCTGTTGGTTAGCCTGAGGCCATGCTATGAGGTTATGTACTTTCTTGTTCAGGGAGTATGCAAGAGTAAGCATTTATTTCCGTGTTTGTCCTAACAACTAACTTCTGACTTGTTAACTCAGAACAGTAAAAGAAGTAGAGTAAATGTAAATATGCAATTGCATTTTCATGCTGTAATTCTTTATGCTGTGAATTCTCTGATATCTCTTATCAAATATGGGATATATATTTGGACATTTAGTGGGGGGTTAGATTTCTGCATTTTCTGTGTCAGTTTTATGAAAGAACTTCCATAATTCTTCATCCAGAAAAGATATATTTGGCATGGACTTGTATGCCTCACAAGAATTCTCAGTGCTTAGCAAGATGGACTCCATGCTTCCCAGCAAATTAATTTTTTTGCTTATTTTCAGATATATTCAGTCTCTTTCTTCTGTTATTCCATTTGTGTCCATCCTCCATCTAAGCCCTTCTGTATCTCTTGTTTTCCCTTACCTTTCCTTTTCACTCCTTTCTCTGTGCTGCTCCTTTGCCACCTCACTCTAGTTCGCTCCGCTTTCCCAAATGCCTTCCACTTTATCTTTCTCTAGAGCCCGGGTTAAGAATGTGGGTGATATCCTGATATCACACTCAGCCTCTAGTGCTGCCCAGCAGACTTTGTGAAGCTTCCATGTCTCCATGTAACGATTAGTTTGGTTACACTCTGTTCCTTCTTACCAAACATATCCAAGTCACACGATATATTCAGAGTAATATGTTATTACTTTAGTTACAGAAATAAAACTTTTCTATCATTTTAACTATTACTAGCCTTAAGGATCTAAATCCCACAAAGAGAGCTTGATTCTGTTTCTGTATGTGCATCATTAGTAATACTGTCTGAAGAGTCAGTCAGATGTATTAGTGCAATCCCAATGGCAGTAAAGAAATTGCAAGGACATATGTAGGTGGAATTTTGCCTGCATATATGTATATGCATATATAAATATATATATGGAGACAATTATTTGGAAGCACTATTTTTTTTCTGATCATGATGCATAAATTGGAAGGAATGAAACCTGGTTTTTGAGCAGGAGTAGTAAAAAAGAATTATGCTTACTCGGAATGACAACCTGAGAAAATACACTTGGAATGCTTCTGCATAATTTTTTTACATTTACAAATTAGAACTTTAAAATTAAAGTTGTCTTCTATTTGCTCAGTCTCAAAGCCCTGTACAGTGTCATACATCAGAAGACTCACATAGTTCCTCCCAGCAGCCTTTAATAATACTTTTAAACTAGAAATGAATCACATCAGGGAAATAAAGTGATCAAGATGCTAGCAGATAGCCTACTAGGCAAAGTGAACCTCTGATCTGATGTATTATTGCAGTTCAATTGTTCCCACATCTCAGAACTGTGGGGAAGATAATATATCAAATGTGGACTACGTGTTTTCAGAAGATGCACTTAGCTTTTTTCTTGGCTTCTTGGCTAAGCTCCTTATATCAAGGAATCATTATTGTTTGACATTTTGTCACAGTGTGGCTGTCTATTTTCAATTCATGTAATAACAAACTGTTCTGGGCCTCAGATTTTATTTCGATGTTTAAAGGTGTTTCATACTAGAAGTTTATCTCATGTAGTAACAGATATTCCATAGGTTATTTATTAAGAGTGAAACTATCTGTAAAGTTCAGGAGCAGTCAAACATTTTAAAGGGATTATGAGGTAGGATCTGAATGGTGTGCAGCAGGCATCTGACCCTCCTTTTTCTGGTCTCTTATGGTGTTGCATGGACATTGCAAATGATCAAGAGCACAGCTGGGTAACAAACACACAGTCTGCATTAACAAGAATCCTGGCACTCACAGGTTTAGTTTCAAATAGTCATATTCTCCAATATGAGCTTACAATAGCAGTTAAGAGTCTTTTCCATAATTCCTGTCCAGCTTCTCCCCTTGATTTAGACTTCACCTACAAAGAACAGGTTTCCTACTGGAAAAGCAAACTCTCACTGAAACTTTCTCATACCATTAACTCAGTCAATCATTGCTCATAGCTCAGAGACTTCAGATTTTCTTTGCATTAACTATTGACATTCACACCTCAAGGCCTTTTAACTAAATGCATATGTCAGCAGATAAACTGGAAGGTTAACACTGGGGAAGGTTACCTTTTACTTAACAAGGGCAATTAATTTGTTAGGACTGCCCATATTTGGCAGTGTTAGAAGTGCATCAGCCCTACCAAAGGCACTGCTGTTCATTATTCATGTTTTCCAATTACTTCAAAATGATTGTACTTCTTTTTGCACACAACTAAAATTTTCTTTCCCGAATACATTAATCATTATTAATTTTGTATCTCTATAGACTCTTAATGTGACAGAAGAAAAATTTGTGTTGGATACACTAGCTGGATGCATAGAATATAAATCCTTATTGGATGTAGTAGTCAATGCCTTTTTTGTTCGGGATGGGAGATACTGCCTGCTTTCTGAGCGTTATCTCTATGCAGGTAAGTTTTCTTTAAAACACCAAATATGCTTACCACAAAACTTAAAAAAAAAAATATTTTACTAGTGTAGGTCTTTTTTATTATTCGTGTTACATTTGAAGCATTGTCATTGTGCCCAGTGCAGTATGAAATACAGGACCTTTCCCAATGGCCTCATGATGTAAAGCCTAAATCCTGAAATTGTTATTTAGTCTGGACTCTTACAGGTGTTAAATGGAATTTTACCTAAGAAAATTCTGCAGAATATGCCTGTAGATTAGGTAACATGCAGATGGAAAATAGCATCGGTGACTGGAAAGTATCTTGGAAGTTTAACCATTGCTTTAAAAAATGTTCTTCAGTTATTCTCTTCTATGCAACCTAGTACCTCTGTCATTCAGATATGAAATGGTATAACAAAGCTCTATCTGCAGAGCAACACAGCATGTCTCACAGTATGAAGATATGGTTGTCGTACTTATACATGGGTTTCTTCATTATTGACCATCGCAATGACATAAATAGACTTCTGGCTTTCTCCATGAGTGAGGTTAATTATTTTCCTTTTATTAGTTACTTGGTTAGAATCTGTAACAATACAATGAGATCTGATAGTGTGAGCTAGTTAATCAGAGTAGTTACTACTTCCAAAGTTATTTCAGGCATTGAGAAGTACATTAAAAATTAATTTTTAAAATGTTTTTATGCTATGCATTTAATACATATATACTGAGGTTGATATTATTAAGTCCCTAATTAAACTGGAATCACAAATCACACTGACAATGGTTCTCCAAGTCAGATCTATTCTGAAGCTTTGTGTGTACTTTGAAAAATCCAGTCAGTTTAATTCAATGTGGTTGAAAAATACAAAAACCATATCTAATATATCTACATTTTATGTTTTAAAAGCTATCGAATTTTTATGGCAATTCTGGTTGCTTCTGTCACAATCTGGAAAGGTATAGAAGTCTAAATCAAATTACAAACAGAAGGGAAGGGAACCTAAACAATCAAGGATGAAATTAATAGTATATTGAGTTTGTTCTAAATGGTAATGCTTCATTGTCTCCATTTCTCCAAAGCCATGTTTTTCAGTGTCTGGGACACATAAGTTATACCTTTAAGATGAGTGTTGCTGTAATTGGATTGTCAGGACTGGTCCACTCAAAAGCCCCCATTAATCTTAGGCAGAGGGTAGGCCCCAGAAAATTTTCCTTTATCAACAAGTTGAGACTCTAAGGTCATTGGCTTACATTTTTTAAGCTGCTTGTGATTCCCTTTGCCAAGCTGCATTGACACTTAAGTGATCAAAGCTGCTTATAAAGGCTGTTGCTATGTGCGAGCAGATTTGAATTTAATAAAGCTTGTAGGAGATAAATGTATATTCTACTAAGACTGCTTGAATACGTTGCTATGCTAAAGCACAAGATCGAAGCCTAATACACAGAGTTGCCTGCAGCACATTGCTCAGAATGTACTGATTTTATTGTTACTGTTTGGTGGCAGCTAAAATAGTGCTGTGCAAGTGAAGCCTGATTGATCAAAGTGAATATGGTCAAATGAAAGCTGATACAGGTGCTCAGGAACTTCACTGCAAAAATCTCACAGCACTGACTGTGCCTCTTCCTGTATTGAACTGCATACTTGCCAGAGAGGTGTTTAAGAATCAGATTTGAATTTCCCAAATAATTTCACAATTTAAAAACTTGGTTTTATTCAAATTGAGAATAAAAACAAAGATTACAACAATTTCTGCAAAATGGTCACTTGCAAAAAAAAAAAAGAAGGAAAGTAAATACTAGAAATATGATACTTTATGGTTAAAATTTTTGTTATGTATAATATTGTTATGTATCATAAACTATGATTTTGGAGCAGAAGAATAAGAGCCATCCTCTCTGAAAACATTAAAAATGGAATATGTTAAAAAAATCACTATCAAAACTTTCTTTTATATCTCCTGTTCACATTAATCCTTGTGGGTCCCTTCCAACTCACAACATTCCGATTCTATTCTATGATTCTATAAATTTTCTCCAAATAAGCTTGCTTACACTGACAATTTTGGTTACACTAAAAGAGAGCTGTTTCCAACAATATAAGTCTGTCAGGAACTCTTCAGTCATGTCTCTCAGGAGCCATCTGACTCCTTTTCTCCCTGCCTTGTTGCCAGACTGACACAGAATTTCACAGATGGAATATGCAGATATTTGTTGTATAAGCTGGTGCTACTATCCAAAGAAACAGGCCACTCTTTTTCTCCCCACTGGCCACTCATTCTCACCCCTGTGTCATTTCTTCTCTTGAGTTAGAACTTGTGTTTAGCAGCCATCCAGTGAACTGATCAAGAAAATGCTTCAGGTTAAAATTCACAATCTGTTTTAACTTGGCTGTGTGGGTGTCTGTTCTTGCCCAAGAGGAGAAACACCAGGAAGTAAAAGGAGGGGATGGGAACAAGCAATTAGGAGTTGACAGAGCTGCTTATTTCAGTGGCAATGTTGGCATAATGAAATGACTGAAATCGTGGCAAGATATTACCTTCAGCCTTACAGGATTCCAAACTCTGCTAGGGTACATCTCACAGTTCTGCAAACAGATATTTACAGGCATCAAAAGGACCCCTACAAATGACGGCAATTGTTTTACATTTTTTGTGTAAGTGGCCAGATCCTCAGCTGTTAGAATGTCTATAACATTGTGTAGATTTCCACTAGCTTGGATCTGACTTACAAAAGAGAGAACTAATTTATATGAAGAGTCACAGTGCTAATAATGAACATCGAGTTAACATCGGTTATATTATAACTTCATATTACAATTTGTCATTGGCAAGCATTATATTGACCAGTTAGATACACAATATTGAGGACTATTTAAAATTAAACTAACAGTCTAAATCCTAGAGTATACTGAGTGTACAATATCAGTTTATTAGAATTTCCTGCTGCATTTTAAATGTATGTATCTTTTGATAGTTATTTGTTATCTGGCTACTTTTCAACTAGAAGAGCTCGGTCTGCAGCAATTCAGCAGAATTGTGAAATCTCTGGACACTGCAAAAATGCAAAAGGTAATGAAAGTACAAAACATTTTTAAAAAATAATTAATGATCTCTTCATTGTGTTTGATTAATCAGATTACTTTTTTCAACTTTCAGGATAATTCAAATCGAGAAATTAATGTAATTTTCTGTCTAAATTCAGAAATTAAATTAGTAATTTGTTATCACAAAAAATCTTGAATTTCTGTACTTACAAGATGAAGTTAAAATGTATTTTATATAATCTGAGAAGGTGGAATAATCACGTGATTTACAGTTCATGTGATTTACAGTTGTCCCTCTAACTTGCATACTCTTGCAAACTTTTGGCTCTGCTCACATTCTTTCTTTAACTTTAGCCAGGAAAGGCTTTTTCCATATGGAATGAATCTACTGAAACTTGCAGCTCTTGCTGATCAGTGTTCTTTTTTTACCTGAACAACCCACTACCACTTCAATTATCAAGCCTGTTGTCCTTCCATCATTTTTTCTCCTTCCCAAAAAACAATTGCTCATTTGAGCTCTGCATGTACCGTTACAACATACGTGCAATTGCCTGCACCATTGCTGCCAAATAGAAAGCATGAGAACAAAGTTCTGCCTGCCTTTTCCTCTCTGGAGTCACAAATTTGGGTTTCACTCCACTACTTGTTTGCTAATTTTCATGAAATTTGTAGAAATACAAATATCTCTGCTTGTCTTTCAGACTGTTTGAAAGTGCTGATTATCTTAAAAGCTATGTTGTGAAGGATAAATTGAATGGCAATGCTTTCTTATAAGCCCCGTTTTCTTAGGAAAATAGGCTAAAAATTAAATTACTGGTGACTTAGCTTATGTAAACTTTGATCATCCAGATGCTTCAAAGCATAGTTGAAACATGGTGTTTGAATAACAAATATGGAATTCAAGAGACAGGCAAATTTTAGTAATTAATACTCAAAAGGCTAAGGTTTATTCTTACACTGATCACTTTGAATGTTCATATGGATGCCAGTGTCTCTTTAATGACTGCAGTTGCTTTATAATATGTAGGGAGAGAGTAGGTTAGGTTGTCTGCATAATGTTTTTAGAAACACCCTGTATTCACTTTGTTTTGGTGGGCTTACCATGGAATGGTTTTTATTAATTCCATTCAGAGATATTTCATTAACCATTAGAAAGAACAGAGAAGTGGCTGGAAGAATTATCATAATCTGGTAGACAGACAAATCACTCTGTCTAAAATGCTCTCCCAGCCTCTTCTTTGGTAAACATCTTAGACACAAGCCACTGGATTGGATGCATCTTGAGCTCATTCAGCTAGCAACACAATTTTCCCACTTCATGCCAGTTCTCTCTTGTTAATTCTATTCCCCTAGCTTTATATGGCTTAAATGCCAGTGCTCTGATGTTCTATTTCAGATAATTTCTTTTCCTTGTCTGGAATAGCTCTTTTTCTGACAGAGAAGCGCTGCATTATGCAATAGTCTGCACCTGCCACTTTTTTTCCTATAGATGTAACTTTGCTTAAGTGTCTTATGAGATCCTCATCACCATGGTACCTAGTTTTCTTCTCTTGCAATAGAAGAGGTTCTTTGTCTCCAAAGTGATGCTAGAATATATTAATGCACCTGCAGCAGAGGATTTAGAAGCAGCATTTGGTCCTTCCAGCAACAGAGACAAAAACAGCAGAAGGCAGATCTGCAGCCTTAGCAACAGAAGTTGCGAGAAATTTGGGAGTCTCCTTCAGGATGCTGACCTGTAGATTTCACCTGATGTCTATTGTCTCTGAGTTCAGTTGAGATGCAGAAAAATTATTCACAGGTATTTACTTAGAATGTATTTACTAAAATTAATTTCTAATGCACATCACAGGATGAGTGGAATTTTCTTAATCATGCAGATAAACCTTACTCAAATGAGTAGTCTTCATGACTTCAAGTCTTATTCAGGTGAATAAGATCAACTTATGTGAGCAGACCTTTCTCTTGAAGGACTACATGACAGAATCCATTCAAATCAAAGTCACAGTGTTTCCCTTTGATTGATGCATGTTCAAATATTTTAATTTAGGCAGAATATCCAGGCAGAATAATAATGCTACCTCACTAACACTTGTTCATCTGCTTGAACAGAAAATCATAAGATCTCATTATGTAATGTTAATAATACATGCAAAAATTCTTTATGGTTGTATAATTACAGAACCATGGGATGAAACCCAATTTTGCAACTTTAGTGTGATTGTTCTTCTAAGAACTTAGCTATGTATTGCTAGCTCAAGCCTATTTTTCTGTTCTATTATTCATACATGTTATTCCTTTGTATTTGTTGTAAAATTTAAGGGTTTGCATGTTAGAGAAAATACACTGTTGAAATAAAAAGCTGAAGTAAACAGCTTTATAATTTCCTAACTGCCTTGTAAAAAATGCAAAAAACCTGGTGTTTTCTTTCTAGCATTCAAGAACCTGTTGTGTTCTGTTTCATGTTCTGATTGCTTCTAATAGCAGTGAAGTCCTTTATAAAGAATTTCTGAGATATGCAAAGGAAAATCACTAGATAAGAACTGGGTATTGTAGTTGCTTTTATGCTGAGGTAGGAAGAGTACGATAAAATTAGTAAGAAGTAGGACAAGATCAGCTTCATGGTGGACATGGGAGCAAAAAAAAGTCCAAGTTGGGTCAAACAGTGGCAGAAGGGCCTGAGACCCCACTAGGACACTTTTCTCTACACCTTTACCTCAGGATTCTCAAAACAGAGTTGCCCATTACAATTTCTTCATAGGAAAGCACTTGTAAGAGCTTCTTGCCTTCCTCTTCACTTCTCTGTTGCAGCTGAAAGGTACAATCCTACCTGGTTGAGGTAGGCATAGCTGAAGGACTAAATTACAGTAAGAGAGAAAGAATCAGCAGATGGAGGGAGGAGTGACTACAGCAAATAGCTGTGGGTGTGTACAGCCAAAATCACTGCATTCTCAGGTAGTGGCTGATCTGTATGGAGAAACAGAACCTGATGTTTCTTGCTGTTAGTTCCTTAACTCAAGAGTCAAAAGCTTGTGTTGTGAATATAAGGATTTCAGCTCTGCAAGTGACTACACGGATGTAAAGATAATACCAGATGAGGAAACTTCCCATTTGTTATTTGCTTTTTAGAAATCTATACGATCCCACGGTGTAAAAATACATTAAGAATATTAGCAGGGCATGTTCAAATTCTCAAAAGCAAGGTATTAATTAATCCCACCCATAAAAAAGCATTACAAAACAGTCTTTAATTATACAGACTTGTCCTACTACAGCCAGAGTACATTACATTTTACAAGTAGTAAAAATTGGTACAGTTCATTTCTGGTGTAATTCCACCACTTCTAGAAGGGAAATTAATCTCTGTCATGCTCTGTGAGTAGTGAAACTCTTGGAACTTTCAAGACAGAAGAGTAAGCAGAATAATGCTGTTACCAAAATGGCTGTCCAGTAACTCCTCTAAGGAGACAGATACTGGTAACATCCAAGCAGAAATCTGTGAGAACTTCAAGCCACATTTTGCTGCTATGAAAGCAAAGACTGTTGATACTGGGGTTGCCACCTGTGCCACATGTGGCCAAAGACAAAACAGAAATATAAGGGATTTTTCCTAGCAATTCAGTTCACAAAATGCAAAAGTTTCTGTTGTTAGGAAATGAAATGTGCTGTGGCTTCACGGGTCTTATTCTGCCCACATTCACCATCTGCGAGATGGATTAGCAGAACCAAGATTGTGGACTTTGGCCCAGGCAGCCTCTGGTCAGAAATGATGCCTGGTAATCCTGCATTGCCATTTGAAATCCCTGCATTGCCTGGATAACTGTTCCAGGGCAGCATTCAGAGCCTTATCTCGCACGATGCATATTGGGGCATATCCTTATCATAGCAGTTCTCTGGGGACTGTGACTAAAACAGTACTAAAATATACAGCACAGTATTGGTTACAGTTAACCATTCTCTGTACCTCGCAGGAGTACATAATAGCATTTATCAATGACATAATTATCCATTTGTCTTAATAAAGTGTGAAATGTTAATAACCAGTTCATAACTGGTGTTGTAGTAGGAGGCCTCAAGGGGCAGCAGCCAGCTGTTAAATACAACAGCTAGAAATCACTAACTGTGCCTTTATTATAGTTTCATCTGCCTTGAAGAGGTAGTTGAGTTGCAAGTACTTTGTAAAAGAGAGTTATGGCAAATATTTAGAAGACCTAGAGGGAGAAGATCAGTCAGGGAGAGCTCAAACAACAGTTCAGAGGCTTATTTTCACGTGGCAATGTCGTAGACAACTGATTGAAGCCTCTCAGGATGGACTAGGCGATAGAAGAGGAATACTGAGGACACAGAGAGGGAGGAGTAGTTCAGCTTAATGAAAGCTAGTGAAAGAAAACAGAAAGATTTACAAGTCACCACCTGTGGTCTTTCTACACCACCTTCTTCTGTGAGTTCTCTGAATACCTAGAAATATGAAACTAGCTTCACCTCTCAGACTTTGCTTCATTTTAAGTACATCAGCTCATACTGAATCCACCCCAGTATACACACTTTCTTACAGGGGTTTAAAATCACATTTTTTATAAACTTTGTGTATAGTCAGGGACTTCCAGAAGCTAAGAAGAGTACTTTGGCAGGGAACATGTTCTCTGGGTCTGTGATCATGTATACAGCTGGGATACCTGGATGTAAAATTTTTTTACAATTAACTGGCAGAAGTGTTTATACCGTGCATCAGTTCTGTTGGAGAGTATGAACTCTGTCTAGAATTCTAGCATTTTATTTATACATTGCATAAATACAAATTACTATGTTAGGTGAAAATGCAATCTGTCATGCATGCACTACAGAGAAAGATTCTTCATAAGGAGAATGAATGAGTTTCTAGACCAATATGCATCCCTTAGCATATACTTAGCAAACTTCACTGAATCAGGAAGCACCAAAACCCCAACTTCTTCACAATTCAAAACTTACCTTATAGTCATGCTTTCAGGGATTAAATATCTTCTTTTGGATGGTGTGTTGATATGCCAGCATCTGCAGGTTTGTGGAAGAGCACTAGTTTCTAAACAAGAATGGGAATCTGAGGGGGTGATATTCATTTAGTCCTTCAAGCAAACTTCACTGAATCAGGAAGCACCAAAACCCCAACTTCTTCACAATTCAAAACTTACCTTATAGTCATGCTTTCAGGGATTAAATATCTTCTTTTGGATGGTGTGTTGATATGCCAGCATCTGCAGGTTTGTGGAAGAGCACTAGTTTCTAAACAAGAATGGGAATCTGAGGAGGTGATATTCATTTAGTCCTTCCGTTGTTGTTCAGTCTTTTAACTCTACCAAAAGCACAACAGATAAAAATAAGACTAAATTTACAGGTTAATTCCTTGGAAGTGGTCACATGAAGACTATGGATTTTGAGTAGCAGGCTTTCTACACCTGTTGAACATCTGCAGCAAACACCAGCAAGAACCACCAGAATCAAATCTGAACTGTTTATAGCTGAGTTATTCACTGAGCCCTGAGCCACCTTGGGCCTGGCACCACATGTGAATTAAGAAGCTCCTTCGTAGTCCTCCAGAACTAAAAACTCAATACAAAGACCTATATGGCTCTGTGGAAGCCAACCCAAGACAGAGCTGATGCCAGGTCTGAACTAATAAGCTCTGCAGACTCCATTCCAAGTTTCTCAAGAGACTGCACACTGCTTTCCAGTGTGTCTGATAATATCTATATTATTTAGTGTGCTTTTTTCTGTTATTAGGATTATTTCAGCGTGATACTTGCTTGTACTTTCATTTCCAATCATTTTAACGAAAAAGTTCAGGTTCAAGTTTGGAATTTACATTGCTGTAAATGATACACGCTGAATCTGAGTGCCATTTTTCAAGAGTCTGTTTCAAAAGGCCATTTGAGCAGTTCAAGTTTTAAAGAAAGGCTCTTGACCTTCTGGTGAACTGCAGAGGGACACAAAAGCTCAAATGTTAGTTGTTGTTTCTCCAGCCTGTAGAGCCCTACAATGTGTAAGTCTGCCAAATTTCTGTCTTCTAGTTTAATGGGAATATGCCAATTAAATATATTTCAATAAAAGAAGAAACCATGTTGTATAGCAGTTACTATGATTGTCAGCAGTGCCCCCTCCTCAGTTCCCAGGCAGCTGAAAGGAACTGAAGTAATTCAGGTGCGTACCAGGCCTGAGATGTTTCTGGGCACCATCGATCATCTAGCTAGAGATAGTCAGGAGTTGATTGTGGGTATATTAGACTCTGAAATTCTCTCTATTGTATAATTATACTAAAATCAGTATATAGCAGTAGTAATTATTTTTATTTTGAATAAAACCTTTTGTTTCGTAATGTTTGAAGCAAATTAAAGATGCATCAACACATCCCCATGTTGCAGCGCCTAGATTGCAGACCCTATTCATGGCGTTGTCCTAGCAGAACTAGGAAGAACCTACAAATATCAAGCACCTCTGATTATAATTACAGGATAAAATACAAGCAAGTTCTTCAGCAGTGTTTGTAGTAAAAGCAAGTATTTTTTGTAGTCTTATATACACCATAACTTCAGTATTCACATGTAAAAGAAATCACTTATTATTAGTTTCTTAGATTCTTCTTCAATGCCTTATATTTGAACACATGGATAAAAGACGAATGGAGTCAGCTCTACGATTCACTGTATGTAAAAGAGAACTGGATTGATCCACTGCTGAGGTAAGCAGTACTCAAGTAGCCTGTTGCCACCTCAAAGCTTAAAAGCTGGGGAAAGCTTCCCCTGAAAGTTCAATTTGCTGTTAAATTCTTTCTTCTACTGAAGTCACTTGGAACCCTTCCTGTCTTTGTGAGACTATAGTAATCCCTTTCACTTTCCCAGGGGCAAGGTTCTCTCATAGAAAAGTCCTTTCACAGCTGTTGCACATTTGTTTCTCAGTGTCCCTGACAGATCAAACATCATATTCTGAAAACAAAAATAGAAGGTTCAAATTATCTTACAGAGCGAGATTTGTGCCTCATAAGTCAATTCAACATCTGTATGACATTAAGCATGTGAAAAAAGATGTTTGACTTCTCTGAGTTTGGCTTTATGCACAGCTTGTTTATGCCGATGGTCGTAAAATCCCTTCTGAGCAAATCAGATAAGCATGTAAACAAGTATTTTTAAATTATTATTTATTTACACAATTGCAGCATCATTTAACAGTTTAAATGCTCTGAGGTACCAGGTGTGTCCACACATTGGTTAGGTGGTGATGCAGTAGCATGATTACCCTTCCCAAACTGGAACATTTTAATGTGGAGAAACAGTAGCTCTGCAGCCTGTTGTGTCACTTTTTCACTCTTGTTCTCACCCAGGACAGATAACATTGGTACACCTATGTGGCTGCAGTCACACATCCTCCCCACTGCAATATAGATTAACCCAGACAATGGCAAACACTGTTAGACAAAAATAAGTTACAAGGTCAGCTGGAAAACAGTTTGCATCTAGTTCTAGTTGTCATATCAAAGTCAGTAGAATTAATTCTTTCATACTATGTAGATTATGCCACATCAGCGAATGTGTAGTATAATTTGGCTTACAGTACTGCAAATTCCACTCATCTCTACAGGAACTGCAGGGATATAGTTAAAGTCAGAATTTGACTCAATGTATTCCACTGTAGTAATTCTAATTATAACGTATGCTTACAATAGTAAAAACATAGAGATAACATACACATATCCACACATTTTTATGTGTACATATGCATGGGGGCAGCTTATTGGCGCTGTCCTTGACAGTCAGTGACATTCAATGTAACAAACACTTGTTTTGCCAGAAGTAGTTAGTTGCACAAGAATGTTAAAGACCATATTTGGTTACTCAGTTTGAAACTTCCTTCAAGGGGCGGAGGATCCATTGATCAGCTTAATCAGTTCAGTAACTTAAATTCTTTTAAACATGTCTTTGTATTCCTCTTTCTAGTGTCAATGAGGTCAATATAGAGTGGTTAGGATTGGAAGGGACTTTAAGATCATCGAGTTCCCATCCCCCTGCCATCAGCAGAGACATCTTCCACTAGACCAGGTTGCTCAAAGCCTCATCCAACCTAGCCTTAAACACTTCCAGGGAGGGGGCATCCACAACTTCCTTGGGCAACCTGTTCCAGTGTCTGACCACCCTCACAGTGAAGAACTTCTTCCTAATATCTAATCTAAACCTCCCCTTTTTTAGCTTAAATCCATTTCCCCTTGTTTTGTCATTAATTGCCCTTCCCCAGCTTTCTTGTAGGCCCCCTTCAGGTATTGGAAGGCCGCTATAAGATCTCCCCAGAGCCTTCTCTTTTCCAGGCTGAACAGCCCCAACTCTTTCAGCCTGTCCCCATAGGAGAGGTGCTCATAGAGTCCTCTTTATTTTAAAGGAGCTGCATTACTTGCAGAAATTATTTGTAAGCCTCATCCCATAATGACAGTACTAGCTATAGTAACAGTCCCATAAACAAGTTACTGTAAATTTGCATTGTCAGATGCTTTTTAAGTTCTGGGAAAGCTCTATTGCATATGTAACACTTAAGGACAGAACATATATATATGTTCTAACTGACATGAAGCTGTCACCATAATTAGCCCTGTGATAACCTGTTTGTGTCTTACCTTGAATTCTGCACCTTCCTGTTATTCCTTGGAAGAAGTATGAACCTTCATACAAGCCAAAATCCAAACACAGAGAAATCAAAATCATCTTGACTGCCCCACAAGGTTCACGGAGGGTTCATTTGCTAATTCACTAAACTCCTCACATCTCTCTGTTTCTTTATTAGAACTGCCTATGCTATGAGATTGATGTATATGTGCAGTTTGTAAAAGTGGCAATACTCAGATGACTGTTTATTCATAGTCTCTTCATCTAAGTATGTTAAGCATGTACTTAGCTTATGACAGCTGCTTTTCTGATTCATAGTCTCATCTTACTGCAAAATGAACTGGCGACATAGTTGCTTATTCAGTAAAAACTGTGGCTATTTCACCACTAGTAGTTGGAATGGACTAGCATCTATCAAGAGGTGGAATAACCTGGTCCAATGAAATAATGAGTACAAATTCATAGGTCAATTTTATTAAAATTGAATGGCTGAAAGCGTTACAGAATTTGTATCAAACGCCAACCTCATATACTCCATGTAGGTTTGTATGAAAGCAAAAACCGAAATAAAATTGAAAAATCTGTTTTTATTTGAAGGTGGCAGCCAAAAGTACAGCAACTGATTGAACAGCTCACAGATAAATTAAGTAATCATACTACCACTGTCAAGACTTCAAAGGTCACTCAGCCAAAGGAATTTAATTTGACTGTGCCCAAACCACGTGCTATTCCTATACCTGTGCCAATACCAGTACTGGAAAAACCACCACCTGTGAGTTTTTTTATGCTTTGAGAGATACTAAGTTTTATGTATGCTTGTGCACAAAATCATGGTAGGGGAGTTAATAGTCTCTTTAAAAATAATCGTAGAATATCTACAACCTTTGACATATCCACAAGGATTTTTGTAATCTATGTCAATGAAGGTGAGATTTCTAAAAAAAACCAACCAACCAACCAAACAACAAAAAAACCCCAACCCAAAATTCTTTTCATTTCTGCGAAAGTCGTGTAAGCAAATTGTAAGCCAAACAAAGGAAAGGGAAAAGGTTGGTTTCTATAGTTTTTCAACTATTGCAGGTAGAACTAACTATACAATGGGTACAAACTGATGACAGCATTGATACAAGTGTTTCTGGTAGACCTTGGATTTGTAAGATGTTTGCTTTGGATAATGCACTGAAGCAGGTGAGAAAAGAATATTGAAATGAGAATTTTTTATAAACTTAGATTTTTTGTAGATGAACTCTCACTAGAATAAATGGCAAAGCAATTTCACTGGAGGTGAGATGCATTCTAGGTTTGCAGCTCCTTGAGGAGCTTTCTATTTGTATTAATATTGAATCTCTAAAATTAAGGTTTTTCAGTTTAAATTTATTGCTCATGTATAAATGAGACTAGAATTATTTTTGAAATGCTACACTTTTATTTACTCATTGTCTAAGACCGTGATTCAGTTACAGTGGTACAAATGGGAGACACATGACTGGTTTTAAGTTAGCTCACTGGGGTAAGGCAAACAGGATTTGGGATCAAGCTGCTATGACTAACTTAATAAAGACTCTAAAATCATCTATATTTAAATGCAGTGGGAAGTGAGCTTGGAAGTCATAGTTTTGGGCATTATCTGCCACCTTGTATTAGCACTTCAGGTTTTAAATAACACATATGTTGAATGCTCTTAGAAACCATTTACATCTTAGGATGGCAGAGGAATTTAATGGTAGTGTGTTATACAGTTAAGGGGATTTTACATTGAAACAGATTTAACACCAGGCTCCGAAAAACTGCATTTAATAACTACTTAATCAGTATAGGAATGAGTCATATTGCTGTCATTTTAGTACCTTTATGCTGTGCAGCCCCTCTTAGAATAAATTTGCTTTAATGCGGATGCATTTACTGAAGTTCATTTGTGTTGTTAGGATTATACTAAATTTGGTTTACATTCTGGCCAAGTCTGCAAATTTAAAAGCTTGTGTGAATCTAAAACCATTAGCGTAGTAGTGACATATGTTCTGTTCATTTCTGTACCTATCTCAACAAATTAAGCTTCACTTTAATTTGCCATATTGTTGCCAGTGTCACCATCTGAGATGCTGAAATGAACAGAGATGGAAAAGACAGCCCAGATGGCAAGAGTTAGTAAAGTGAGAGCAGGCCATAGTTTTGGCTACTATATGGTGGAGAGTTGTATGTAATTGAGAAGAATGCACTGAAATAAAGCTCTTCCAGATTACATCTCGTGATCTGCTGCAGAAATGTTCTCATCCATTTTCTCACAAAGTTGTTAGTTTTATGATATATCAATTTTTTCTCATGATTCTCATGCATGTGTCAAAGAACTTGTCATGTGGCATATCAGCAGGGGCTATTGTAGTCACAATAACTACAGGCGTAGTTACTGCTCGACTTTGATGCAGCTGTATGAATTCATACAGAGGCGTCTGGATTTTCAGCAATGACTACTGATAAGTTATTGTATCCCTATGGTGAAATTAGTTCATTCTGATTAATAGGACTATTATTTTAGGTATTTCTTTCTGCTAGGTTACATTATATTCTATAGTAGAGATAAAATGCAAAATAAGATGAGATGTATCACATACATTGAGTTCAGGAGCTAACACTGCTGTCCTGTACACTGAACCATGAAGCCTTCACAAGAGAGGACTGGAGACATGGGTTATTGCAGAAGGCAGGGGAGGTGTCTTACTCAGTGATCTATATTGAGACAGGACTCTCCTCTGACCTTGGAAAGTTTCACTGGAGTAACATAGGCCTAGAAGGTTAGAATAATCATTCATCAGCGTAAACATTCATCAGAAATGGGGGACAATAAGTGAAAAGGAAAACACTTTCATTTTCAAATTTAATAAGGAAACACTTTGCTCTAAATATCTGGTCTAAAGATTATAAATTCTTCTTTCCACTGTCCTTTGCACACAAACACACGGATGCACACACGAGCATGCACATATGCATACGGACTTTCATAAATACAATTCTACAAAGAAAAATGAGTGATTTAGTTTGACGTTTCCAAAGGAAACAAATGGAGACAGGTGCTTAAACCTGATAACATGCAAAATGATTTGGACACATTTAACTTCCTTTAATGTCTTGGCCTTGAGTTACAAACCAAATCCATTATTTTAATATCACCACTATACTAGAATAATAAGATTATGCAATTATTTTATTTTTAGATTTTCTGTAAACCAATAATGTAGTTAAATTAAAAGGCTGCACTGAGATGTTATTGTAGCACCATTCAGCCAATTTGATGTATTTTTTAGACATTTTCCATATTATTTCAGCCGTGCTTTATGAGTAGATTTGCTTGATTGTTTAAAATAATTAAACGGATTAATTCATTTGGTCAATACAGACGATTTTGTTTGCAAATATATAGACCCAACAATATATTCATCTTTATGATCTTGTTAGGGATAAGAATAGAAGCTCTTAATACAACAGCCTTACGTTAGCTTGCCCTTGTCCATCTTACGACAGCAACTTTTAAAAAAATATAAGAGTGATGACTACCAAAGTTCAATGTGATTATTCTCAGTACAGAAAAGACATGGACCTGTTGAAGCAGGTCCAGAGGAGGCCACAAAAATGATCAGAGGGATGGAACATCTCTGCTATGAGGAAAGGCTGAGAGAGTTGGGGGTGTTCAGCCTGGAGAACAACTGGTGTCCGGGGACACCTTATTGCAGCCTTTCAATACCTAAAAGGGGCCTATAAAAAAGATGGGGACAGACTTTCTAGCAGGGTCTGCAGTGATAGGACAAGGGGTAATGGTTTCAAAAATAAAAGAGAGTAGATTTAGATGAAATATTAAGGAAGACATTTTTTACCATGAGGGTGGTGAAACACTGGCACCGGTTGCCCAGAGAGGTGGCAGAAGCCACATCCCTCGAAACATTCAAGGTCAGGTTGGATGGGGCAGCCTGATCAGGTTGGATGGAGCAACCTGATCTAGTTGAAGATGTCCCTGCTCACTGCAGAGGGGTTGGACTAGATGACCTTTAAAGGTCCTTTCCAACCCAAACCATTCTGTGATTCTATCATTCATGTGGTACCTACTCCCTAAATAAACCTCTGGTAAAAGGATATCCAGAAAGCTGGAGAGGAAAAGCAAGGTTGGTGTCTCTTACTCCCAGCCCCCTTTTTTTAACGTTGGGATTAAATAGGTACCGTTTGGCCTTTTTGCTCTCTCTGTGGTTGGAATTTACAATTTACTTACAGTGACTTATTCATTCTCTCCTGGCAACTGGGTAATTGCTGTATTGTCTATCTGTCTGTCTGATTGGTGCTCATCACCATGGCATCTGAGGGATAAATTACAAGGCTAAGATCATTTTTGAAACAGAGCTGATGATTGAAAAGTCTCCTCCTTAAATTACTTGGAATAAGCATAGCAGTTTCTGAGGAGAGATTTTCAGCTTACACTGGCAGATGAGTATAGTTTTGCAGCTAAAGCACATGACTAGGAAGAGCAGTGAAATAAACTGATACTCACTGCCTGTGTAACCCTCTGCAAATCCTCTGGGCTTTAATTTCTCCATCCATAAAAGCATAATAAAAATTCTTAGGTACTGCTGGGAAATACTTCCAGTTCTACTTCACTTAAAAAGCTCACAAAAATACTTGAGCAGTCTCACCAGTGCATTTAATTGCTAGCTGCTTCTGTTTGTGCATTTGTTTTGCCTGTAGATAATGATGTCAAATAGCAAAGGCAGTGGAAAGTACATCAGATTCCTGAGTTTCTCAAAGCATAGCTCTTTATATAGTCCAATAAAGCTAGATGGGACCCCCATGTTCCCTAAACTGATGTCCAGTTCAATACAGATTATAGATTTTTCCCATTAATTCTCGAATTAATTCTGTAACTTCTAATTGAGCTAGAACATTTTTGCAAGATAAATATTTAAGCAGATGTCCAGTATACTGGCAGACTATCTCACCAACATAGGAAGGAGACATCCAGGCTTTTTTCTGAGTTTGCTTCTGCAAATTTTATTGCTCAAGCAAATACTGAAATTCTAGAATTTTCAGCCTAGCTCAAAGCCCTAATCTCCTCTTGATCCATACGGCAGCCAGACGGTAAGTCTTTCCCAGTCATTTTATCTGTAGGACTTTCTGCCATGTGAATGCTTTCCCACGTCTTTGACTAATGCCAGAAGGGCCCCCTCAGTCCTCTACCTCCAAACATTGAATCTACACCTCCAGTGGAATTCCCTTACAAGGACAGCAGGGCAGCTGTGGCAGACCAGAGCAAAGGCCCATTTTGCCCAGTGTATTTTCTCCAGCAGTGGCCAAACACAGAATCTAGGAAGACTACAGGGACAGGACAAGCACAGCTGCTGCTTTCTCCACCTGCCTTCTCAGTCTCCCATCATTTCAGCTCAAAGACTTCCTCAGTTACAATAAAGTTCCTGGGTATTTAATAAATTTAAAAGGATTTCTTTTCCCTAAACTTCTTTGGAGTCTCTGTAACTTGTTACTACTACCATGCACTGTGCCAAAGAGCTCCACAGCTTAACTTTATTCAGCTGCCCTGTCTGGCTGTCAGTGCTGTGAAACTGAAGTTTATGATATGCCAAACAGAACTTTTTTTTTCTTTCTGGCAACTTCTTTTTCCTCTTGATAGGGCCTATAGAATTTATTATTTCTTTAGTCTTTCTTATGGTAGTTTCAGATTTTTTTTTCTTTCTAGCCTTGTCCAGGGCTTAAATTACATCAGACAGGACTGAAAAGCCTGGGTAGTCCCAGCTAATTGGAATCTGTCCATGTCTTCTACACTGGCACTAATAGAAAAGAATCAATATTTAAATAACTGCAGCTGTTCTATGATAAAAGTGAATGTGGGTTTTTTTTCCTGCAAGAATGTGTTGCTTGGAATGTTTTATACCCCATATTGTGGAGATTATTGTTTTTTAATTTAGGTTCCTCCAAGCACCTACAAACCTCCAAGAGAAAAAAAGCAACTAGAGGAAATCAAAATGAAAAACCACCAAAAAGCACAAGTAAGTTGCATTATGTTCTTGTTCTAGTCTTTCCTTTCTTCTAAACCGTTTCTTCTGTAATGTTCCATTTTCACAAGTCTTAGAACTTTAAAATGTTTTTGCTTTTGCACCTAATAGCTCCTGGCTCTTTCTCTAGAGTCATGAAGTTTATGTCCTCTATTCTGTTCTATTAATCACCCTTTTTCCGTCTTCCTTATTTTAATGTTAATTGTTTGAGACAAGGCCCACCTTTTATTCACTGTACAAGTACTATGTGAGAGATTACGCAAGTAGCCATGTAAGGTAGCAGAAATATGATTGCTTTCTTCTCTTCACAAGCCTGAAACTGTTTGATGGCTCTTCTACTCCCACAGGACATGTGGATATTTAAGTTCTGCACTTAATTATTAAGGCTACAAAATACAAAATATGTTCAATATTTCTGTTTGTTTTCTATAGTAACTGATAAATAACCACATGTCATCACCCACTGTTTTAAAATATCAGCAGATTCTGACTTCTCTTTTGTGCAGACTCCATACTCTTTCCTTCAGCAGGTTGAGGGAGTGGGAAGTGATCATGATTTGTAAAGAAGCCGAGTACATGGTCTGTGTGTTAAGAGGGCAGGAGAAGGGAGGGCCTGGAAAAACAAAGAAACGGATCTAGTTATTTGATCCAAACTTTGATATGAATCCTGTTCGATGTGTTAGCTCCTATCGTAGTTAAAGCAGATTGTTGTCGTCTTCTCCTTGGAAGGGAATTAATTAAATGTCAGCTTCCACTTTCTTTCTTCCTCCCCACACTGCAATCACCATACCCAATCGAATAACAGTATAAGCTTTGATAAAAGGCGTGCTGTTTGACTCCTTTTTATCTGTGTTCTCCCACCCCTATTCAGAAAATGCCTGACTTTACCTTTCACTAGTCAGTACAAGTCCATTTATCACTGTTCTGGGCTCTCCTCATGTCCTTGTGAAAGCAGCATTTGGTTCTGTTCCTAAACTACAGTAAATGCTTTACTGTGTGATAGATTCTAGGGGGATGAACTTTTCATTCCTTTTGCTGGCCCATCACATTACCTATGCTTGGTATTTCATTATAAAACAATACAACATTATTTTTTTATCCTTTTATTATTTCCATACTGTGGAGAAAGCACACGCCTACTTGTCTGTGTGCTTATTGGTAAGCACAAACTTCCTAGAAAAACTGGGGAGGAAAAGCAAGATATCACAGTGCCTATATTGTCAAAAATCCATGACAACTATAAAATTACTTAACTACCAGCCACATTCTTCAGTGGAGAAAATACATGAATACAAAGAACAAAGGAAACCACCACAGAAATTCTAGCTGCAATAACAGCAGTTTTTCTTGCTTCTGGAATGTTATAAAAGGCATCCAAAGCATTCACAAAGGTCAGTCCCCTAGACTGCTAAACAAGTTGAAAAGTTGGGTCCTAAAAGAAATAAGTATTAAAAATGTTTGATAGCATTTTTGCAGAAGCTACAGCTGTCATTATTAACTACTACATCTGAGCATCTGTAAGAAGGAGTGAGAACACTGGAAGCCAAACTCTAGACAAAAAAATCTTTAGAAAAATCATTAGAAAATCTAGTCTGTGTTTCACAGCTTTAATTAGAGATTGCTGTTTACAACCAAAAGAAATATCCAAAGACTAGAAATGCAGCTGCCTCTACTTTCCCCCTTTGAAATGACAAGTGGCATTACTGTTAGGTGTGTGCCTATTGGAGCAACCCTTGGTGCTCAGATCCCCAATTATAATCTTCGAATTTAACTCAAAACCAAAGCCATTGTTTGTTACCTGTGTGGAAACAGTTACTGCCTATGGTACTGATGTGCCATAGATAATTATGAGGCTTTTAAGTTGAATTCTGCATGAGCAACATGTTTCATATGGGCAGACCTATCAAAGGCCTGATGCCCTATGCAAAGGATACAACCGGGCAGAACTATGTAGAAAATCAAGACTTGCCTACTTCAAGTCTTCAATCAGGAATGAAAATTCATTGGTGACTAGGTCATGCTTTCATTCATCAGAAACAAATTAATATACTGGGCTGGGCTGGAAGGCTTTTAGAGACAGAAAATTCTTATTAGAGAATTTAAATGTACCATACTTTTTAAACTAATTGCTTTAATTTTAGGCTCTGCTCTTGAAAGCAAATGCTAACCAGTTCAGGTGTGCAGCCATGAAGACTGAAAAGGAAGAGGTATGGTATGAAATACTTTATTAACTAAAAAACTCCCAGTATGAAGATGAGAAATGACTAGAGTATTTAAATATATCTCAAGGTGTTTGAAAATTTTTGTTTATTTGGGGTTAGTAATTATGTCATATCATTTATAGCTGTACTGACATTTCACATCCATGTTATTATTTTCAGATGTAATATACTAACATTTGCCTCTCCCATGTTATTATTTTCAGATGTAATATACTAATTACATTTGCCTCTTTGGATGCATAATGCACAACCCCCTTTTCTTATACTTCTGGTGCTGCTTTATTATTCTCCCAGTTTTGAGACAAGCAGCCTTCCTGTGGTACTACTCCAACACGTCTCCAAATTGGCAATATTCCTCTAAACCCACATATTATTTTTCCATTAAGTTTTATGCCACAGAGCAGCCAAGGTGAGGGAATAACAGTCCCATTCATACAGAATTCTTGCTTTGGTTGATTCCTAGTTTACAATTGCGTCACCAAACTGTGTGTGCAGTATATTAATTTCAGCATCACATCTGCCTATTCTATTCACTGCGTTCATCCCCATGATAACAGACACTTTGACATCAGTATCTATAGCTTACACCATAAAATAAAATTAGTAACTTATCAGTATAATTCTACCACTATTTAATAATTTCATGAAGTATGCTTTGACACCCTGTTTTGTCTTCTCAATATCTATTTCAGTTAAGAACTGAATATATTCATATATATAGGTAATATTGCATAGTCAAACAAAACATTACTGTTACTTTTTTAGCATTATTTTAGTTAATAAATTTTAATCAATATTTGTATAGTCATTTGATACGAAATAGTCCCACTAAGTTGGGTGTGCATAGCAAGTTCTTGTGCATAAAAGAATTCCAAAATATATGCCCTATGATTGTATTTGTTACTCTATATGAATATTCAAGAGTGATTTTTGGTAAACATCTAATATTTTTTGCTGAGTACTTGAAAATCTGTCTCTAAAATGAAATAATGTATTTTTGGTTTGAACTGCAGAACACACATGAGAGTATGAAGAGTAAACCAGCATTCCAGGCTCAAAAGATCCAAAGAAAGGTGAGTAACCTTTAAGGTATTGTTGTCAGATGTACTTGAAAACTTTGGAGTGAAAAACACACGTGCAAATTCTGTGGTGATGCAAAAACATGGAATCCATGTTTTTATGGATTACACCAAGTCCTGTGGCCAGGAGAATGGGATGGATTCAGTCTATAGGTCATAAATTTTGGCCTGTGCACCATTACCAATCCACAAAGAAATAGTCAGGGAGCAACAAGAGTGTGGCCACTGCAGGAGGGAAGAGAAATAAGGAGCTGAAGGTGATGAAAGCACGGGCAGTGCCCTCACCAACCAGGCCACAGTATCTGAACATGACAAGGTTGGTGGTAGTGACCAGTTCTGCTGACAGCCAGTCATCCTTAGACAAAGCAAGGTAACAAGTCAGGTCTGGGGTCCGCCCAGGAAGTCCAGTCAGGAGACAAGGCTACAACAGCAACCCAGGTCCATGACAGCAGGAGAGAGAACCAGAGAGACAACCAGGAGCAGAATTATCTCCAGTATAATGGGAAAGTACTGAAGCTGAGACCTGAGCTTAAGTGGGGCCCCTGGACCAGTAAGCAAAGGGTGTGAGTAGAGGTGCTTGGTGAGGCTGGTCAGGGCAATTAAAACCTGTTGGTTCCCTGAGGGCCTCCATGAGCAAGTTGTGTGCAGTTGCACAATGTAACCATATTGCCTTAACAGTGCTTTCAATTCCAAAAGGATAAGTTTTTATGTGAAATGGTAAGGATTGAGAATAAGCCACAAGAAAAAAAAATAATAATTGTGAACACATGGCTTAAGGACTCAGCATAGGGACAGAAGAATTCTGTGTCTGTAAATCACTGTTTCAAAATGAGCTCCTAAAGAATGCTGAGCAATCATTCCAGCTAATGACTGTCTGATACACAATATACAATCAGTCTGGATGTTTGACTTCTTTCCTTTAGACACATACTGAGGTCATAAAATCCACTATACTGATTGCTTCTCTGCTAGGATTTCCAAGGGTCAGAGAATTGTAAACATGGAAAATGGGCTGTTCAGCCTTAACGGTATAGTGCATGAAAACTGCCATTGCTATTTCTGCAATAACTGTACTACAGATAATCTTCAGTCTTACATTGTTCAATCTGTCACCTTTTATTTGTTTCAAATTCATATGCAGAATAATTTAATGTGTAAGCTATGCTTGTGTTGTGACCTCAAATACCTTGTGAGCAGGTCTACCTACTCTTTAAAACTATGTATTTAGGTACAGCTTATATGCACTTTGGAGAAACTAATTCCCTGCTTGGGTAACTGGGCATCTGGCAACTATTTCTAAAGCATACCTGGCATTTATCACATACTGAAGTTATCTTTTATAACAGTATCACATACTCAGTCTGCTTGCTTATAATCCAGCAGCATTTAAATTACAGGAAAGTAGTAAGATCCCAGCTCCTTCTGCACTCACAAGAGGGGGAAAAAAACAAAACAGGGAACATTTACACAGTTAACACAAACACGCATGACCTGTAATTATGTGGGCTTAGTTCAAGACTCTGTATATTCCACTCCCTTTTCTGATAATTTAAAATACTGAAACCTTAGTGCAGACTAGTGAGGGTCAAGCCATCTGCCTAAATTGCATAAAGAAAAATATGGATCTGGCATCGTATAGCATTGATCAGCGCCACTTCTAACACCTGCTAGTATCTCCTCTAGGAACACAATGAGTTTTATCTCATCTAAACACATTTGCCTTAAAGGCTGGTGAGGTGATATTCAAGATGCTGCTATAACTTTCAAGCTGAGATAGACATATTGCTATTGACTTTTAAAATACTTTCTATTCCTGTTGCCTTCCTGCCTGCACAACTCTCGGAGTAGACAAATCCTAAGAGGAAGGTTTATCCAAGACGTAGAAAAAATCTGTTCTCAAATTAATGAAATTATATAATGTTTTAACCAACTAGTATTTTCTTTTCCTCTTTTTAGAACACCCACAGTATCTTAAATACATTTTTTTCATTTCAGACACATTTACTATATGCATCAGCAATTATTTCTTATTGCTGTTACAACATACCTATTTGTCCTTTTCACTGGAAAAATGAGGCAGTACAAATGCATCATCACTCTGCCTCAATCTGCCTCTTCCTTATATCAGGCCCTGCTCTTTACATATTTATTGGTTTTGGTAATCTATTGTGTGTGCATTAGGTGGAAATAGTGAATACAGTTTTTTTCCAAAAGAATTAGAGTGTTCTGCAATTTTCCTAATTATTTCCATTTTCTCATCTTGAAAAAAGGGAAGATAGCTCACAACAGGAAGAGAATGAGTAACATTCAAAACTTCCTTGTTACCACATGACATAGAAGAATCTATTCAATTATTTTACTTATGCCTGTCTGCATCTATCTTGGGAGTCCTAGTTATTTTGACTGTATGGGCTGTCATATTTCTGTTTCATTGTCATACAGTCATATTTCTGTTTAATAGACTGGGAACTGAACTTAAAGGTATTTTCATAATCATTCTTAGTTCAGTTCTCTATCCAAATTATAGTTGGTAAATACAGAACTGAAATCTACACACACAGGTAATTGCCAAAAATATGAAAATTTCTACCTTTGTCAGAGAAAATATCTACTCTAAGTAGACATTAAATACACGATATAGTGTATAAAATACAGGCTGGGGATGGAATGTTCATATAATGTAGAAGACTGAGAGCAGTTGAGAAGTAGACCAAAAGGAAGGAAGGACATCATTAGACATTAAGAAGAGTAAGAATAGTGAGTTAAACAAAACAAATAAAATACATTATTTTGGGTTCTTTTCTTAAATTCTTCATGTTATCATCATTTTGTCAAGAAACAGACAGCTAATTAATTTTTGTCCATTAAAATGTGCATCTGTGTGGAAAACACAGTAATGCTACTTAGTGATTTTTTAGATGATAGCATGTGTTTGTTATCCCCAACCTACCTAATTAATATCAATTATAATACCTCCTTTTTCCAGTTACCTTATGTACTTCAGGAGACTCCAGTACGTATTTGTGCATACAACGTTTGCAGTATATAGCTTGAGTGATTCTGTGCATCTGTTTCTCAGGCACTCATTAAGCTGTTCATTTGGAATTTAAATAATGTTTGGATTCTGAACACAGAACTTGTCTGGATTTAGGTCAAATGTATCATGACTAAGCTTTGTTTTCTGCAGGAATGATCCCAGTTCTTAGCCCACCAGCACTGTTTGGCTTTGGTTCAGATCAGGTCTATCATATGTGTCTGCAAAGGTGATAATTTTTTTTCAGAATAGCCTGCTTCTGCAGGAAACAGTTTTAACTGGCAGAGATGATGTTCCCTTCTTCCTTCAGTATTTAGAGGTTTTCTGTGAGTTAGCCCTAAGGCAATACTTTGAAGAACTGCAAAGCAGCCACAGGACCTATTCCAAGTTACGCCATGAGGCCTGAAAGTCACTAAGAACTGTGCTTAATTTCTACTATCTAGAAAATCATAGAATCAGAGGATCCTTAAAGATCATCTAGTACTAACCCCCTTGCCATGAGCAGGGACCTTCCACTAGACCAGGTTGCTCAAAGCCTCATCCAACCTGGCCTTGGACACTTCCAGGGAGGGGGCATCCAATTGGTGATGGCAGTTGTCTTAGAATTATTTTGAAGTTATAATAGTGATTATTTGTAAAACACCTCTGAGACCTTCCTATGAAAGGTTCTGCTTGTTTTCTACTTTAATGCTTTTGGCTAACTTACTGTCTTTCACAGAAGCAGTTTATTTTCTTTCTCCAAAGCAGATGGAATCCCGGCACACTATGTATATGAGCACTGAAAAAAATGAAAGGAAGTGAACACATTCTATGGGATTTGACATGGTCCAAGAGTGATTACAAATTTATAATCCACTTGGGGACTTGGCTGATTTCTTAAGCAGCTTGAGTGGTTCATGAACAGCATGCAATTTCATTGTGAATGTCAGATTAATGCTAGATGAATGCTTTAAGCAAAATTTATGCTGTCTTAGGTCGATTTATTTAACCCATTGAAATGTTTTTATACTCCGTTTTATGGTTTACATGACTAACTATAGTATATACATTCCCTCTCCTGACAGAGTGACAATATACCTGTTAAATTAAATGCTGCAGCTATTTTAAGAGACAGTGCCCTCTATCAGCGGAAAATGGAACAGGAGCTCAAGAGGTATGATCACTCTGCGTTCTCAGATTACTTTTCACATCCCCTAAGAATAATTAACCACAATAAAAATAATTAAGTAAACTTCTGGTAAACTAAAATACTGGATCTGTTGTAAGGCATTAGGAAGCTATTCTATAAACATGGTTGACAAATAAAGAGAAAAGTGGACTGACATGAAAGTCTTCATTGAAGTAACTGTTTTACTGTAGATGCTACACAGTGTGACTGTGTTCTGATTTAGCACTCTGGCTAGTGTCCACTTCCAAAGTCCAATAAAGTTCACTTGTTATATTTATTCCAATTTTTCAAAATAAATAATGACCAAAATACACACCTATTTCTGCGTCCATTATAAAATATGACTACATATTAAGCTAAATAATTTCATATACCTCCATTTTCTTCAACAGTTTGTGGTCAACTATATGCCAAATTTGATACTCAAACTTGTTTATATCTATATGAAACTTGTATACAATACCTGTCAGTTTCTATCACAGTAAGATATGGAGGATGAAGAGCGTGCTGCTCCACAAGGCAAGATAAGCCAGGAGCTGAGGGTATGTAGGGACAATGTCCTCACTGACAGCAGCTCAGTTCCACAGTCCCCTGGTGAGGCAGCAGAGCAGATCCAGTGACAGCCAGCGGGGTCAGCCAGCGGTGCAGCGATTGCTGAATGAGTCCGTAGTGATGAGTCAGGGCTGAGGTCAAGGCAGGAAGCCAACAAGGCAGGGTCAACAAGGTGGTAGGCTGGGTACCTAATGCGTAGTGTAGGCAAGGACAGAGGCTGGTAACTTCAGCTTAAATGTGGCTCCCAGGAAGAAACTCCACATGCACAGCGGGACTTTTCATCGCTCTTCCTCACACAGTTCTTTCCACTCTAGTCTGATCTGATGTTATATGGTTGTGCTGCAACAGAGCTGTCTTTGAACAGAAGCAACTAAATCCTAGGCAGGGGTGAGGAGTAAGAGGTTGCAGGTCCTTCTGGTGCACTTAGGGCTCTAAGGAATCCTGACATAAGGATTCCTCTGACACAAGGAATCCTTATTCAGCAGCACGGGTTTTCAGTGGACAGTAACAGGGGAGAGGGTGACTCCTGAATGGCCACTGCAGGTTGTATTCTATAACTGGAATTACAGAACATTTTCAATAATAATTTTTAAAAAGATAAAACCTGTATCATGTCATCTTGATTTAGTATTATTTCTAATCCAACTGATTGAGCAGGCTAAGCACTAAATATTGTTAGCATTTTAAGTCCTGGAATAACTGTCTAAGGTTGGATTTGGTCTTTGGACCTAGCAAATTTTGGTATATGGATCAGTATTCTAGCAATAAGTTATTATGCATCACTCAGCTTCTGTTATCAGCTCTGTATATTGAGGTTATTTTACATCTGATACTGTTCACTTTATCTAGCAGAATTTTGTTCCATTCAACAAAGACATAGATTTTCCCTGTAACTTAACACTATTTTAATCTTCAGCTGCATTTAACACACAATGGATACGTATATATATATCTGCATTGGGGAGCAGCAGGAAGGTGCAATTCACTTCATTTTTGTGTCTCTACCCTAATTCTTGGTTCATTCAATCCTCTGCTGCAGGACTTTGATGGGCTTGCCCCAGGCCTTTGCTATGCTCTTCTCTCTCAGCCGAGCACAACAAATAGGAATGTGGTTTTGCTTAATAGCTGAATATTTCTTTGCCTCATTACAGCAATATTATTTAATTGACAAAATACAAACCAGAAATAGTATTCAACAGAAAAGTTTTTAGTTCTCTGCATTAAAGTAGCCAAGAGGATTGCCAAAGAGAAAAGGTATTTGTTCTTTCTACCTCTAAGCAAAGTAATCCTCTGAGAAAATGTACATACCTTCAGCCTCATTCTCCTTGCTCCTTGGGAGAAGCCACATGTGGCTTAAGTTTGCCCTCTCTTGGGGCTTTTTTTACTGAAAACTTTAAGGTCCATGCCCTCATGCACTTTCTTCCAGCCTGGCATTTCACAGGCTTTCCACGTAGCAAGAACACCTCTTAGACTGGAGTTAAAATATATCTGTCAAATGATTTTGTGATGATGGCCTTTTTTCTCTGCAGAGATCAGCCACCTTACAGCATAACAAACTACTAGAAATGTTTTATGAACCAAGG